CCAGCACACTTAGAATAAAATCCAAAGCCCTTCTGGTATAAGGCTCTATACCATCTGAGACCCACCAACTTCTCAATATCATTTCCTACTACTAAACTCTTCCCCACCATTGCCACCAATTAATACTGCAGCAATCTTCAAACTCTAGCACACCAGCCTTCTTGCCCTTTCTTGAAAATCTCAAATTGATTCTTGCCCCAGAATCTTTGCACTAGTAGTCCCTCCCACTGCTTGAAAAGTCCCACATGCTAGCATGGCTCATTCCTTATCATTCAGGTTTCTTTACCTTTAAAAAAAATATTTAAAAACCAAATTCACAGGCAGGTGATCAAGGTCAACGTTGTGACAAGTCATGTTGACTCTAATCACGGAAAAAACATCAAATCCCAATTGAGGAACATCTGACCAGTACTCTTCAAAACTGTCAAGGTCATGAAAACAAGAAGTCACGAAACTAGCACAGTCAAGAGGATCCTAACAGGACATGATTAAAAGGTATTGTGGTTGTGTAATGGAAGCTTCTGAGAGGCAAGTATTTCATACGAACTCTCTGCAGATGACTTGGAAGAACAAGGAGCCAGCTTTGTTTGGAACAAAGCTATGGCCATCTGGGTCACACATGCCTTACGTTTGTTTTCACTTTTTTCCTACATCCCTTCCCTTTTCCCCCACACCTTCTTCCCTGTAATTTCACCCATCAAAAAAGCAATGTACAAGCATATGTGTGTGTGTATGTGTTCACTTACTTAGTCGTGCCTGACTCTTTGTGACCCTATGGACTACAGCCTGCAAGGCTCCTCTGTCCATGTGATTTTCCCAGCAAGAATACTGGAGTGGATTGCCATTTTCTACTCCAGGGGATCTTCCCAACCCAGAAATCGATCCCAACTCGCCTGCATCTCCTGCACTGCAGGTCGATTCTTTACCTCTGAGCTACCAGCAAAGCCAACAAACCATTAACAAATTTTTGAAAGTATTTATGATACCCTAGATGAAATTCTAGAATAGGAACAAAGACAGTAGACAAAAACTTAAAAAAAAACTGATTAAACTATGCAGTTCATAATTGCATTATCTTGGTTCATTAATTATAATATATACACCACACAAACATAAGACATTAATAATAGGGAAAACTGGGCATTCAGTATTTAGAGACTCTCTATACTGTCTTTTAAATTTTTCTATAAATCTAAAACTGTTCCCAAAAAAAAACAAGTTTTTTTTAATTAAATTCATCCAAAAATCCTATCATTCAAATAAAATCACCATTAGTTTATATTTGATATAAACCATCTTAGATTTCTATGTAAATGAACACATAGAGGTATACTCCTACAAAAATGTGATCACACTACAAATAACTTTAAAACTGGCTTTTTACACTTAACAATATATATAATGTGCTTCGACGTCCTTTCCAAGTCATTACTAGAAATCTCTATCATGCCTACTAGTTACAAGACATTACCCTCTAGGAGGGCATCTTATTTATGTAGCCAAATCACTCATTATTTTAAATTGACATTTTTCTTGGGTTTTTCTCTGCTACTATTTAAGACAACCATTGTGCTCACTTCAGCAGCACATACACTAAAACTGGAAAGATGCAGAGATTAGCATGGCCCCCACACAAGGATGACATGCAAATTCATGAAGTGTTCTGTATTTTTATGCATGGCAGAAACCAACACAATATTGTAAGCACTTGTCCTTCAATTAAAAATAAAATTAATTTTTTTTTAAAAAGACAACTCTTAAACAAATATCTTTGCAAACTTACCAGTTAGAGCCTTAATAAAGAAGAGGAGCAGCTTAGTGATAGGTTACTAACGCTTCAATGTGTGCTTAGTCGCTCAGTCATGACCAACTCTTGGCCACTGGCGACCCCATGGAATGTAGCCCACCAGGCTCCTCTGTCCATGGCAAGAATGCTGGAGTGGGTTACCATTTCCTCCTCCAAGGGATCTTCCCAACCCAGGGATCGAACCCAAGTCTCCTGTGTCTCCTGCACTGTAGGTAGATTCTTTACCACTGAGTCACCTGGGATGCCCATGCTTTCATTAAGTATGGCCAAAATATTCTCCAGGAAAGTAAATATCCATAACAACAGTGTATGAGTGTGCCAATTTCCCCACTCCTATGCCAATACTAGATACTACCATTATATCACATATATGCCAATCTGCTGCAGGGGGAGTTGTTTTGTGTTGTTTGTAAGTAGAAAATACTGTATTTTTATCTTTATTGGTTATTTTTATTTCTCTATGCATGCAATCTATCTATTCAGGTCTTTTGACAACCTGTTAAATACTAAAGTAACCTTCTGAGTCCAACCTGCTGCAAAGATTTTTTTCCCCACATTTTGCCTGACTTTAGTCATCACTGGTTCCCCTACACCTGAAAAACTGCCTGGCACATCAAACACACTCAATAAATATGTCAAATGAATACTAAATGAGTAAAGTTGTCTTTTAACTTGATGGTATTGTTGCCAAATAGAGGCTGTTTTACATAATAATTCTATCAATCAGAATTCTATCAATCATAATTGCCTTTGCAATCATGCTTAGAACAGCTCATCCTATGTGAAGATTAGAAAACTGCTTACCCATTTTTTTAAGGCAGTAATTTTTCTTTAAATGTTAAGACTTTATTTACAAAGCTTCTTTGTTGCACATAAAGTAAAAAAGGTTGTGACAATCTCCTGCTGCCACAGACGGCTAACTCACCAATCACGGTTATCCACGCCACAGTAAGTCTTACACAAAAGCCTAACAACTCTTACAAATTTGTTGGGGTAAAGTGCCCAAGGTTGGTGGTGGATTTCCAAGAGGGACTAAATGGAGGAAGGTGGAATGTCACAGGAACTATTCTTTGGCTCTTTGGGTGACTGGGTAGGTGGGCGTCCTGGGGTTTGTATCACAGCTACCTTTAAAAAAAACAGCTAAAAATTCATCTCAGCAGTCCAACCAATACTGAACAGTTCTTTTCCTGCAAGTTATTTGGGGTCTCATTAACCTTCTTCTTCATCATCTGTTTCTCTCTTCCTTAAAGCAGGAATTTTGACTTCATATTTTATACTTATTTCCCCCAGATTTTGGATGGCAGATTGTTGAATGGCATCACCAACTCAAGGGACATGAATTTGAGTAAGCTCTGGAAGTTGGTTATGGACAGGGAAGCCTGACGTACTGCAGTCCATGGGATCGCAAAGAGTCGGACACAACTGAGCAACTGAACTGAACTCCCAGATTTTATTTACACTTTAAGGTAGGATTCCATTTTTTTCCCCAAATGGTTAGCCAATTGTTTCAACATAAATTCAAAATTCTTTCTCAACTAACATGAAATGTCACCTGTATAACACTAGTCTTTTTGACCCAGTGCTGTCTATTCCAGTTAACCACTTATTGTTTTGATTACCATAGCTTTATTTGTATATTCACTAGTACAAGTCCCCACTTAATTTTCTTCTTTCCAAAAATTTTTTGACTTTATAAGCTCATTCTTCCAGATGAAATTTAGACTCATTTTGTCAAGTTTTCGAAAAGAATTCTGGTTGGAATTGAAAATTATTAGCCATATGACCTTGTGCCAGTTACTACTCTGTTGCTATTTCCCTCATTGGTAAAATGGAGATAGTAGTACTTAACTCACAGATTTGTTATGAGAACTAAGTGAATTAAGACATATAAAGTACTAGGCTAGAAAGATGTTAACTATTAGTATAATTGTTCAGAAGTGATAACTATTATCATGATTGTTCAATAAATGTTTTCCAGATTGTGCACCCACAAAATTCAAAAGGCTCTTCAAGATACACCAAATGTACCATAAAGCATAGGCAATGATATGAAAAACACATAACGTATGCCTGCTTATTTCACTAAAACTTTGACCCTTGGTAAAACGCAGAACTGACGCTAGGAGCAGAGAACTATGAAAAACACCAAAGGCTGGTGGTAGAAAGCCTCAAAATGTTTATGAAGACTGGCCCACCAAGTGGAGACAATCACTTCTTTCTAGTCAGCATTTTGGGGCACTAGCACGTGCCGTCTAACTCCTTTTGTTTCCCTACCTGCACAGTCACGACATTACTACTTCCCTCTTGATTTCTTTCCAAGAAAACACAGAGGGACTAGACGTCTAAGACAAAATACTTTTCAAATGAGATAGTGGCCAGGTACAAAGTATATATGCTACTGCTAACTATAGACAGACGTGTCCAGAATATTGTAACAAGCTACCTCCACCAAGTTTCCCACATCACTGTAAGGATGGAGGGAGGGGGACTATTGTGGGTTTTCTCCTACAGGGAGACCGGCTTATCTCACAATGATTGTTTTTAATGGTTTTGCTACCAGCATGACATTGGGATGAGGTAGAGGTCATATACCTTCTAAAATAACAATAATAACCTCCTATGCAGAGCTGTACGATGAGGAAACAGAGGCCAGGACTGGCAACGTAAAAGCGTGCTCAGCCCAGGTCGACTCTGTGGGCTGCAGCCTGCCAGGCTCCTCTGTCCATGCAATTTTTCAGACTGGAGTGGGTTGCCATTTCCTACTCTAGGGGATCTTCCGGACCAAGGGATCGAACCCGCGTCGCCTGCATTGTCAGGCGGATTCTTCACCGCTGAGCCACCCGGAAAAGCCCCAGGACTGGAACTTGACTAGCTAATTGCAAAAGCAGCCAAAGGCCTACACCCTAGGTGTCCTCATTCCCAGAACCGTTCTCGGTCCTCCACACCACACAGCTTCTCCCCGACGCTTGCCACGCTTCGAGGTGGGAGGAGTAAAAGCAGCCAGTCGGGCCAGAGCAAAAGCGCTGGAAAACCTAGGAACGGCGCAATCGAGAGCACATGACTGGCCGCTCGTCTCCCCTTCCACCCTCCCCCGTCCCCGCGCCAGCAGCACGCGCTGCCAACCTCGTCATGTGACCTTCACGCGGCCCCAGCGCTCCCCCTACTAGGAGACTCTTTCCAGCAGCCATTTTGCCTAGAACTTGTCGTCCGTGCTCACAGCGGAGCAGGACGCCACAAAAACCCGCGGCCAGACTTTACAGGCCGCACACGCGCTTCGAAAGAGTGCTGGGACCGGCAGGGGAGAGCCGAACCTCACTGAACACGTCGCACCCCGGGGCGCCGGGGAAACCTGTGGGTGCGCCTCCGAGTGCGATTGGCTGTGGCGTCCACGTGACGCCATTGCCCCCTACCCTTTCCTTGCCCCCCGCCTCAAAAAAAAACCAGACAGACTCTTAACACCTCGCGCCAAGTAATCGCCGCTGGGCGCGTGGGGACAGACGGGGCGCGTGGCAACCAGGGCGCCTGCGCGTACCTGCCAGAGCCGACCGCAGCGAGCCCACGCGCCGCTCCGCTCACGGGTCCCGGAATCCTCGCGCTGCTGGAACACCCGGCTAGTCATTGGCGGCCAGGTTTGATCACGTGATCAGCCCAGGCCCGCCCCTAACCGCTAATCACCTGGCACCGTGCTCGAAGCGGCGCCGAAAGTCGTTCGCACGCGGAAAGGGAGGGTAGTTAGAAGACCTCCTTTTTAGCCGTTATGAGATTACATTCCTAAAGTGGAAACGAGAAAGCAGGGTCTCAAAACTAAGTAAGGTCACACCTACCGCTTTAACTTCGCGTGCCCCTCCAGGAGCCGGGAACCATCGCCCTTGGGCGCTCCCCGATGCACGCCGGGATATGTCTGGCGCCCCTCGGTGTGCTGCAGAGCATGCCGGGAAAGGCACCTCTCCCGATTTCCTGGCTCTCACCTCCCTGGTTTTCCTTTCTTGTCCCGTAGAAAGCCCTGTCTTACGGCGGGGATGCAGGCAGTTTGGGTAATTATGGGAGCGAGACTGGGTGTAACAAGCACTTTCAGTCTCCCTTCCCCCACTCGTTTGATCTGTGTGGTTTTAGGGAAACCGCTTAACTTTTCTTCAGGGAGAATGCATTTGGTAAGTTCCTGCGGAGTGCCTTTTTGAATATTGAAAAGAAAAAAGTATTTGCCTACAAGCAAACTATCAGAAGTTCGTGGTAGTAGGAGGGGAAGAATGCTAATATAGGTACAACTTACTGTAAACCCCTCTAGCAAGTAGAAATAATGCTTCAGAATGTCTTTGGAGACACAAGACCAGAACTTTCTTGATAAACATACTGCTATTGTTGGGGAAAGTGGAGGTGAGAGGAGCAGGAGGAATCTTAAAGGAGCCAGAGATGTAGCCTTACTACATTTTCTGTTTCAACCTAATCTAGCTATGATGTATTGAAGCCAAAAAAACACACCATCTACTAAGATGAGAAAAGGTGGTCTTGCATTTGAATGAGTTAATTTTGTATTGTATTCACGAAACTGACCTCCAGAACAAATACAACAAAAAACTGATATTCTACTCCCAATTAAAACAGTTCGTATCTGTTCTGCTCTAACTCCATTCTTCAGCTTTGCTGATTTCAAAACTTTGTTTTTTCGGTTAACAAAGGGATGATTAAACTGGAGGAATTTGACTAGCACTGCTCAGACTCAAGAATGATGATTTATAAGCTAGAAATTAAGTGTGTTAATTTATAATGCGGTTATCAAGCCAAAATATATTGTTTTGCACACCTTTTTCTGGTTTCAAGGCACTTACTTGATAAGCCTAATTACTTGTCAGGAGATTATGTTCTGACGAGGAACTCAAAAGAAAGGAAATTAGACAATCACGTGTACTAAAACTATTAAATTAATAGCCTATCAGTGTTAAACTTGATGTTAATCAAACAGTCCAGTATACTTTAATGTGAAAAACAACCCTGAGAGAAAAGTACTATACTAATCTTACCACCTTCTGAGACAGTCTTGAGTGGGAAACTAAAAAATGTATTTCCACGTTTTATCCAGGCAGTTGTGACGCACAACTATGTTGGGGTCATTGACTATAGTGGAAAGAGCCCTGACCTTGAAATCAGACCCATCTGAGTGAACTTGCAATTCTCTACTTCTTGTACTTTGACCTTGAACAGATTTTTTTTTAACATTTTAATCCTCAGTTCCTTTAACTTCGATTTGGGGCCAATAAACTTAGCCTTTGGATTGTCATGATGATCCCAAAATAAAAATATTTTGAATACCTGTCACAGTCCCTGGTGAACAGGAGGCACTGTATAGCTGTGAATATATGTTAGTGGTAAAGGCTGTGTTTTAACCACCATCCTGTGTCCAATACAGCATATTCTTGAATCCTTTTTCCACCAGTATTCTGTTTCTCCCCTAGACAGTGCTAGAGGCACACCAACAGATTCTTACACTGCAGATCTTTTTTAGATTCCTTGGTGGCTGGTGCCCATCTGTTGGTACAAACTGTTATATTATCTCCTACCTTCATTTCAAGGGTTATTTTTTTTTCCCTCTTAACCTGTCATTTAAGATGCTGAACTGTAGACATTATTGAAGTAAAATAACGATATTAATAATATAGAGATGGCTAGAGGGTATAGGGGGCACTTGTGCCTGCACTTGATGAAGGTTAAAAATTGCTTACATTTAAATACCTCAGAGTAAACACATCCTCAATACTCACTCTTCCTTCACTTATATAACACGATGTTTTAGACTCTCCTTTCCCAGTCTCCTTCCAGCAGTTCATTCTCCTCTCCTGCCCTTATCCATTCCTAGCAAGGGATGGTTAGCAAGGGCAGAGCTTCCTGTAGACATCTGAAATTCAGTGTTCCAAAAATCAAACTCATTGTCTCTTTGCATCACACACCTGCTACTACTGCATTCCCTTAAAAGGGCAATGACACCACCATTTCAATAAGCCTCCCAGTCTAGGAAACCTTCCTACCCTTAACTGGTCTTTTTCATCTATTTGTCAGTTTCGATTAGTCACAAAGTTCTATTGCTTCAAACACTGAAACTTTTTTTTTAAGGTAAATCCCTACTTTCAACTTCTCCCACTATTACAGCATTAGTTGAAACCTTATCTCTGTGAGACCCTACAAATACAAGTATATGAATTATTTCATTATAATGATAATAGTGTGTTAAGTTGATTTTAGAATACAAAACTTGTCATCTATATTGTTTTACAATACACTAGTAAAAGGTTTATAATGTCCTACACAATGAATGCTCTTAGTAAGTTTGAGTGAAATAATTTTTTAATGTATCTATTTATTGAAGTTTTGGACAGGTACTTTTGTGAGTGTTGAAGAGTATTAATGGTGATCTTGGAAGTAGTTGTTCACTGTTATGCTATCCTCAAATATTTCTGGTTCTACCAACTTCCAGGAACATGATATAATTGCTTTTCCTTGCTCCTATAAAGTTAGGAATGACTACATGACTTGCTTTGGTAATGAAATATGAGTGAAAGCGACATATATCACCTGGGAAGAAGCTTTAAAGGCCAGCACGGAATTCAGCCATTTTCTCTTTTGTTTTGCTACAGCTGCTAACAGTGTTCCAACTGGTGGTTACTCTGTCAGCCTTGGTCCCATAATATGGATGGCATAGAGCAGACACACCTAACCAACTGGCAGTGAATATGTAGCATAAGCAAAAGATAACTTAGGTAGATTTCAGACACTGAGATTTGGGAACATTCAGTTCAGTTCAATCGCTCAGTCATGTCCAACTCTTAGCAACCACATGAACCACAGCACACCAGGCCTCCCTGTCCATCACCAACTCCCAGAGTTTTCCCAAACTCATGTCCATTGAATTGGTGATGCCGTCCAACCATCTCATCCTCTGTCAGCCCCTTTTCCTCCTGCCCTTAATCTTTCCCAGCATCAGGGTCTTTTCAGATGAATCAGTTCTTCAAATCAGGTGGCCAAAGGATTGGAATTTCAGCTTCAACATCAGTCCTTCCAATGAACACCCAGGACTGATCTCCTTTAGGATGGAGTAGTTGGATCTCCTTACAGTCCAAGGGACTCTGAAGAGTCTTCTCCAATACCACAGTTCAAAAGTATCAATTCTTCAGTGCTCAGCTTTCTTTATAGTCCAACTCTCACATCCGTACATGACTACTGGAAAAACCACAGCGTTGACTAGACGGACCTTTGTTGACGAAGAAACTGGGAACATTAGTTATTGCTTGTAACACAGCCACACTGAATTATACAGAAATGAAGGAAATTATTAGTGACCAAAATCCATTTTGTTAAGGAAACAACACAAGTGCTTGTGGACAGAGGAATGGATAAGCAAAATACAATATATACACACAGTGGAATATTATTCAGCATTTAAAAAGGATGGAAAATCTGAAACATGCTACAGCATGGATGAATATTGAGGATATTATGCTACATGAAAAAAAAAAACAGTCACAAAAAGACGAATACTTTGTACTTATATGAGGTATCTAGAGTACTTAAATTCATAGAGACAGAAAATAGAATGGCAATTGCCAGAGGTTGGAGGGAAGGAAAGATGGAAAATTGCTGTTTAAAGGGTATAGTGTTTCAGTTTTGAAAGATAAAAAGAGTTCTGGAGCTTGCACATCAATATGAATGTACTCACCACTACTGAATGGCACACTTAAAAATGGTTATGATTGCAAATGTTATGTTTTATATATATATATACATATGTATATATATATATTTACTACAGTTTTTAAAAGATAACAGATATCTGTTAATTGAAAGAATGAAGGAATATGTAAGTAAGTTAAGACAAACATTTCTGATACTTATTTATAAATTCAACTTCACTGAAGTTGGCCACTTCTGATGGTTACTAGTATTGAGTATTTGTGTGTGTGTGAGAAAGAGAGAGAAAAACAGACACACTGCTCTCTGATTCATCTTACTTTTCTTTTTTTTTAAATTAAGTGTTTATTTATTTATTGGCTATACTGGGTCTTCATTGCTGCTCAAGGGCTTTCTCTAGTTGCAGTGAGTGCAGGCTACTCTCTAGTTGTGGTCTGAGGGCTTCTCGTTGCAGTGGCTTCTTTTGTGGCGGAGCACAGGCTTTAGGGAGCACAGGCTTCAGTAGTAGCTGCACATGGCCTTAGCTGCCCTGAGGCATGTGGGATCTTCCTGAAGCAGGGATCGAACCCATGTCCCATGCAGTGGAAGGTGGATTCTTAACCACTGGGCCACCAGGGAAGTCCCTCATCTTACTTTTCTGAAACACAGATCTCATAATGACTCCATTTTAAAACCTTTGAGAAAGTCCAACTTAGCAAACATTTTTTTATGGTTGCCAGTATT